TAAAGGTGAGTAGTTTATAAAATACGTTTGACATTCCTGATTCTATTATCGGTATTGACGAGAGAACACTTTCGTAGGATCATGGGGTGGAAAAAATTCATTATCTCCAACAAACTCCTATAGTAACAGAGTTAAAAAGTTTAATATATATGTGTCGTCCACAACTACAATACATGAAATACATAGCTGGTAGGAATATTCAAGAGTATTATTACATATAATTGTAGTTCTCTGTGTTTTCGTTATTAATCAGGTGTGTCTTATTTTTTCACAACTTAGACCATATTAGAAATCATCAACTCGAGCGAGCAAACAGCGAGGAAGACGGACAGAAATATGAATACCATTTGTACTTTGTTCCACGCAGGACTATGATATGTCAGAGAGTCTTGGAAGAAAAAGGTGTATGGGGGGATATCCTTTGAAATTAAGAAGTAATCTGACTTGTATTATTGGTTAGGGTAATGCATTAATGAAGATGATCGCTTAAGCATTTGTCAGAGTACATACCTTGTGCGTTTTCGGGTTCTGGACGTACTATTGAAGAAATTAAACGTGTTCTCTGACAGATTGCTTATCCTCCTAACATTGTACGCACATGATTCCTTAACTACATCTCTGATTCACATATTGTCGTTGGAGAATACCATCTGGACCTGATTCCTTTCGAAGATGATGTATTATCTCTTGAACTAGATAATAGTTTCAAGGAGTTGTACTTGGTACTTATTCTCTAAAGGGGTTGTTTCGGGGATACATATGGACAAGAATGTGAATATAAGGATCATCGTCAACAGGGATGATTTTGTGATTTTTGATGAATATGATATATATATCGATTAATGGTGATAACGAATAATAATTAAAGGATGGAGATTACACGGCAATTTACTATGCTGCAAGGGCGTTGATGGAGTTGCAGAAAGAATTTGGTTTATTTCCGAGGATTATCGGAAAGGGTGATTGCGCAAAGGTACGATCATACGAAAGTGTTTAGAATTACAAGGCATACATGTTACTAATTGTAATCATCTCGTATACGGATTCATTTGTAAAGCAATTAGCCGACATGCTGATTCGAATGAGACGTGAGAGAGCTGTAGACGATCCAGTCTCTGCCTTTTCCGTCTCGCCCAGCATCGACACTCTTATCATTATCGATCGACAAGTGGATCAAATAACACCGCTTTGCACTCAATTAACCTACGAAGGCTTAATTGATGAAGTATTTGGTATCAAGACTACTGTCGTCGAGCTTGATTCTAGCATAGTGGGACCTCCACCGCAAAGACCAACTGCTACAGCAACTTCAACCGCGTCTTCATCGACAGCATCTCAGGCGCCGCCGCCTCCGCCTGCTCAGCCTGCAGCCAAGAAGAAAAAAGTGGCGTTGAATTCGAGTGATAAATTGTTTGGTCAATTGAGAGATGTGAATTTTGCTGTTGTCGGTGGTATGCTTAATAGAGTGGCTAGAAGGATCAATGAGGATTACGAAGTAAGTACATGTTGTTCGTTTATTTGTTTTATTATGCTAATGCATGTCAAAAGTGTTTCCGTTGCCAACGGTCTGTTATGCGTTCTCCTTAGGTAAGGCATCAAGCAAGAACAGTGGCTCAAGTAAGAGAATTTGTAAACAAACTGGGTGGATTGCAGTCTGAACATCAATCCTTACGAATGCGTATCCTTTGAAATACGTAATTTCTGTTGTGTTGCCGTTGTTTGGTCATTATCGTTTGTCTGTAGTTTCACTTTTCACCTGGAAAGAGAAAATTACCTTGACGAATGAAAATAGATACTGGCATAGCTGAGGAAATAATGACGTATACAGTTACCCCAGAGTTTAATCGTACTCTTGAAGTCCAACAAAGTATATATACATTTTTTTCATGGTTTAATTAACGACACGCGTTAATCACAATACAGTACTTCTAACATGTACATGTGCTTCAAGATCTTGTTGCGGGCATCGATGTCAACACCCAGAACGAATATATTGAAGAAATGATTAATCGACAAATACCTCTGGTACAAGTGTTGAGACTGCTCTGTCTGCAATCTCTAGTCAACGGAGGATTAAAGCAAAAGATGTTTGAATTCTTTAAGAAAGAAATTTTACAGGCAAGGACTAGTGATAAAAATTTGGATCCTATTAATTGAACATGTAATTACTCTTGACTAACATACGAATACTGCATACCTGATACGCACATACTCTAGACGTACGGTTTCGAACATCTTCAAACTCTAATAAACCTCGAGAAATTGAATCTATTTATTAAGCAACAGTCAACGAAAAACCCTTATAAACACATCCGCCAATTTCTCAAATTAATCGTTGATGAAGTCGACGAACACAACCCGCAAGATATCTCGTACGTGTACTCTGGATATGCACCATTGAGCGTGCGATTAATACAATGCATCGTGACAAAAGGCGGACCTAATGCATTGGCTCACCCCACTCACGTCAACGCTGCTATTGGGGCCGGGAACTCGACAAGCGGAATGAAGATTAATGGTTGGAAAGGATACGAAGAGGTGCTACGGCTGCTTCCTGGGAAATCTTTTGACGAAATACAAAAGATTGACGATGGAGTTATGAAATCTAGGAGTACGTATGAGGGAGAACGGAGGAATGTGCGAGTCGGTTTTTTGCAATGACGAATTATTCTGTATACTATCAAATTATGACATCTTTTGTGATTTCACAATATCTATTCTGAGACATAACGTGTTAAAAGATATGTACGATCGGTTGTGCTGTTATTAACTCGATAACTATTCTTGTGACAGGAGCACAGCAACCGCGAGTGACTCTTGTGTTCTTCTTGGGAGGATGTACGTATACTGAGATATCGGCAGTGAGATTCCTTAACCAACAAGACGAGGGTATGTAATTATAGCTTTTTTTTCATATGGAAAAGACAATTGATTGGGACGTGATATTAATTGTATACCATACCGTGTTAACAATAATAGGTCAACGTGAATATTTGATCGCCACGACCCAGATAATTAATGGCAATAGTCTTTTGAATTCTGTTATCTCAAGGATAAATCCGAGCAATATCACTGTTCGAAACAACGATTCTTAGTTGCGAGAGGAATTCTCATATGGTTCATGGATGATATTTATTCGATTGATTACGAGCTTTGTACGATATGTATAACGTTAATAATATTATCAATCTCATAGCGTGAGTGTTTTTTGCATACTAAGTCGTATGTTGGGATGGTCGTGGTGAGAGTAGCTTGCGCCCTATCGACAATCTTAATATTACAAGCATTGCGCTGGCCTAACTAGTATACAATCGATGATGTGTGGAATGACGATGCTTTATTGGGTTCTTAATTTTATAACCTTTAGTTGATACAAGATTATAATTACAAGTCCAAGTTTGCACTTGAATTCTGATTAGACACACCAACTGAATCTCAATGCTCGGTTAAGAATACGCGCAGTTTGTCGCCTTCAGAACACTCGGTTTCTACTAATCGATCATTTCCTCCGGCAGGCACCGTCCATTTAATGAGAGTAGGAATTTTGCGTAGAGAAATACGCTGATTGACTTTGTACGGGTGAGATGGGTTGTTCTTCCATCTTTGGTAAACAAACGAAAGAATAAGCAATTGTCATTTGACGCCATCGATTGGTCACCATGTATTTAATACTTCACCAATAACCAATGTTTCTGACATTAATTATTGGTAGAGTAGTGTAGCTATTGTCTAGTTTTTTATGGAAATTTCTGAACTTAACTGTTCTCTTGTGCCAACGGGTGCTTCAATCAATATCGCACTTGGTGCGTGCTTGTCAAACGCATTGCGAATGTGTGGATCGGCTGAAAAGTGACATTATCAGCATCAATAATACATGTCCATATTGTTAATATTACAAATATCATACCCTCATAGCAGTCTGGACACCAGGACTGTCCCGTAGATGGAAGCTCCGTTCCTGAATTAAAGCAACACGACAAAAACAACAATGGCAGTAGTGAGCTTAACAACGTCACTTTATGTAAGCGTAAACATTGGCTGCAGTGCACATTAACATTTGATTAAATCATGTATTTTGCAGTTGAATTCTTTACCAAAAAAGAGCACATATACTTTCGAGCCGACGACGGCTTCTTCAGATATTTTATTTATTTTATCCTGAATATCGTCAGCAAGCTCGAGACGTATAGATTGGACCATCGTTTCGTTCCAGGAGAGAGAGATTAAAAGTCCGGTTAAAACGTAATCATTTGAATGAGCAATATAACTCTTCTTGGAAAAAACGGATATCCCATATTAATATTAGGCATGTAACACAAGAAGAATCTCTTTTTATCGTTAATTAGAATTGAACGTATTTGGTTAAATCGAAACAAGTTCCATTGTTCGTATAATAATAATCCGTGCATTTATTAGAAATTCCAAAACGTTACTAATACAAGAATATTATCAGGTGGTATGAGGACCAGAGTGCTATCGAGGGAAAAAGACAGTGGATTGAAGATATCCTAAACACGTTTAATACACGCCAGTGTATTTAAAATTCACGAGTCAATTTTGTAACAGGCATATTGACTAATCATATATTCTGTTGTCAGGTCATGCAGCTTAGGTACCCGAGTTTGACAGTCCTGGGTCGTCAGGTGAGGTGCGCATCATGCAAGATTAATATTAATTGAAGCATAACGAGAACAGTTAAGTCCATGAATTTCCACAAGAAGGTGACAATAACAACACCTTCTGCCAATAACTACGCAAATACCAGTAACATTAGTATTAACTATTGGTAGAGTAACATACGTTATCGATCGATGACGTCAAATGGCTATCCTTATTCTTTCGTCTGTTTACCAAAGGTGGAAGAACACACATCTCACTCGTAACAAAGTCAATCAGCGTATTTCTCAACGCGGCGAGCCGCTCACCTGACATGTAATTCAATCGTATGTTAATAAAGGCAACAAATTAGACAGCACCAGAATGAATATCGTAGATATGAGTAAGTTACTTCCAAAAACTGGCTCGTATGCTGATTTTTGTGTAAATATGCTAATAATAAACCTATTAAAATTATACTTATCCAACGTGCGTTGCGGATACATTTGATAGTAGACGATTTTCAAAGTGCACCGTTATTATTTATTTCGTATTAGTATAGTTGGCACCTTAGAAATAGTACTATCAAATAGTTAAAAAAACGCAGTTAAAAAAATAGTGGTTTGAATTATTTTTTACTCGGAACAGAATCAAAAATTTGATATTATTTAGATATTAAATTGGTGTAGTCAATTGCCTTTATTTTAACATTTTCGAGGTCTTATATTAGATAACATCTGCTCTTGAACATACGTTTACTGTTTGCATTCCTCTTTCTTAAATTAATTTTTATAATTTTTTAATTGTTTATAATATTCAAAAATAAAAACTTAAATCGGTATTAGTGACTTTTATTAAGTCTGGGTAATCTAGTCTTTTAAGCATTGAAACTGTTCATTACTTTTCAAATAATCTTTAAGACGTTCTACGTTATTCGTTTGTTTGAGAATCAAGATGCTTTTTGGTTATTCAGTATTAATATTTAGATTTTCTTTTATTTGGATTAACCCACCGTTACAGCTCACTTACAAAAAACTGTTCTATTTTATCAATGTAATTAGTAGTTAATTTAAATTTACAAAAAGTAGTATCTTTATTGAAGTGCTTGGCAAAAAAAATTAGTGAATTATAATAAATCTCATCAGAGGCAAGTTCTAAATACAAAAAAAAAAAAAAGGTGAGCAACACGTGGAAAATATGTAGCTGCCAAGAGATATCGAATATGACACAATTATTGATTCTTATGGTTAACATATGGCATTGAAGAATACGTTGGTATTCTTAGTTGGAATCTATTATTTGGGATACGTTAAATAAAAGATATTGTAAAATAATGATGAGAAGCAACATTATAATTTGGAGTCTAATTAATAGTAAGTAATGTTTATTAGTTATTTATAAAAATTACGTTATTGTTTTTTTACAGCGATATTTGATTATCTATGCGATGCTTTGTTATGATAACACCATATCTTGCTGATAAAACTACACGCCGCCGCCGCATCTAGACATTCTAATGACGCATGACGACTACTGTTTAACTCATCTCCAAACTTTCGGCACGTATTGCCATGCGTAAATAATATGGTATATTGCTCGAAATTTTGATTTAGCGCGATTGTCTCAAACTCGGCGTGCAATACTGATGCGTCTTCGTTAACACGTATAGAACAATTTGTAATTTTCTAGCCTTGTTAATAAAGTGTATGCACATATATTTTTGGAATTCTGCAAGATACGCCAATTGTAAGAGATTATGAAAGTTGTTTCGTAAATTTTGCTATGAATATGAGCGACGTGTTTCGCCAGTCATCCATTTTTGGCCATACATTTTTTCTCTCTCCATGTTTTGTGAATACCAATAAAAGAAGAGAGATTAATATCTTGTTATATGTTTTCGATACACGTAATTTGCCTAATTTTGGCATGAGTCAATTTATGATAAAACTTTATTTGCACAATGAGCTAAAAAAACTCTCATCAATTAAAGCGAGTTAATGAACTTGAATTACTAAGCAAACAGTGAATAAAGATTCTTTCAAGCTTGACCAATAAGTAACGCACAAAACTCAAACTATGCCAAATTAACCCTGTACTATTTTTACTCGCAACGCTGTCGAAACTAACATGTCTTGTTTGGAAATTTAACCAAATAGAGCTTTAAAAGAAATGCATAGTTTGCGTTGTAATTTAGTAATTTATATAACAAGTTATTGGCAGTTGTTCAATTTCCTTAAGTAAATTTGATTGGTAAGACTAAGTAAGACTCGTACACTATGACCTTGGTTATGCTTAACGTTAATTAACCAAAATTATTCGTGATATGACGTGGACAATCAGCATTGTCGAACCCTGTCTGTTGTACTACAGTTTGCTAGCGTCAAAAATCTTTATCATCCAAATTTGGATTTACATGACCTCAAATCAGTCAAGATTTACAAATTTAATAGCCAAATATTACTGTCAATTCTGCAATTCATAATAACACATTGTATGCCATGCCACTAATTATAAACAAAAACTTACGCGCATATCCTTTTTGTCTCCTTTCTATTTTTTCATATATAACACCGTAACGGGGCCTGGCATTCTTTTTTATAGCCACCTCTTCATCATCCTCCGCCCCGACGAATTCACCTTTCCTTCATCTCTCTCTCTCCTCCCTCATTCTCATCCTCACGCCGCAATCCGCAATGCGGTCGTTAACCCAATTACTCCTTTTCATCATCATCTCATCCTCTCATGTCCTCTTTTCATCGGCTCAGTATACGGTAACAAACCCAAAGACTGGGCAAACATGGAAAGCGGGTGAGAATGTCAAAATACAATGGAAGCTCTCAGGAACGCCCGAGGATACTGTCGATATTAGATTGGTCCATGGAAATCCTGAGAATTTCGATTTCGTTATCTGTGAGAATGTCAAAGCAACAGATGGAGAGTGCGAATACACAGTAGACGGCAAAATCAAGTCTGGCAATGATTATGCCATTGTCATTGGAAAAGATTCAAAGTATACGTATTCGAATGACTGTAAGTGTAAAATTTGTCTGCCGGCTAAAGAGAATGAGATTGTTTTAGCGCATATTTGTCGATAGTCGATAGACGGAAAAGTGATATGAGTAATAATCAATATTACGAATATCATTCTGACAATAATACATTGCTACTGCACTTCTCTTCACTTTAAGCTATTGACTTTTTGTCTTGTACCTCATCACCATCATGTTTTGAGAATCGCACTAAACTTTCTTCTCAACATTTAGTTACTATCATCGCAAATGGACCGCTTCCTGGATGTCCAAATATGGTAATGAAAGGTTTATTATTTAGGGTGGAAATTCGATTAACTGCATTTAATATGATGTTACACTAAGAACGAATGAGGCTTAAATTGTAATTCTACTATTATAAGCATCGAAATCACCCATCACTTCCTAATATAGAGCATGCCGTTTTATAAAAATAAAACTTTAATTTTTAATTTGTTTATTCCTTTTCAGGGTGGCAATGCATGTACGAAAGATCTGCCATGCTGCAGCGCAGCAGGCTATTGCGGTAATAGCGATAGTGATTGCGGCTCAGGATGCGATGCAAAGTACAGTTTCAACAACCAATGCGAGAAGACTCTAGCTACCACGGACACTCAACTAGTTTTACCAGACAATGACGAAATTCGACTGGTCAACTTGCCCGATGGAACGAGATGCCCGAGTTTTAAACCATGCTATGTGAGGAACACATGCAAGGCTTCGAAAGTCGCTTGTGCTTCCGACTGCATAGCTTCCAAATCTTATCTCGGCACGTGCAACCATTCTTCCACTTTCAGTAAACGGCGTGTTACAGTGAACGGAGGACTTCGGCTAAAAAGACCAAAAGTCTTGCATAGGAATGAGGGCTTTCAAGGCGATCCTAGTGCTCTGACAGGCGACGGATCCAAACCTCCCAGCAAGACAAATAACACGAGTCTCAATCCTAATAAAGCTGTGACGGTTCCCAACTCTAACAAAAACGACACGGCTCCTAGTCCTAACAAAAACGACACGACTCCCAGTCCTAATACAAACGACGCGGCTCCCACTCCTAATAAAAACGACACGACTGCCGGCGGCACCGTGTCCATATGTGATACAAACGATTGCGGTCCCCAACCCACGAATAAAGCCCCCAATAAAGCTTCAGTACCAAAGCCCACGCAAACTACAAAATCTGGTCCCAATACCAAGTTTTCCACAAAACCCTCCTCCACCAAGCCAACTTCAAAGCCAAAAGTAAATAAGGCCGCGCAAACTGTAACATCTACTCACACGCCCAAAATCTTGCCCCCCTGTGACAAGAAACACCATTGCAAAATTAATTATCCATATCCATATTCAAAACCAAAACCAAAACCTAACACGCCGAACAAGAGCAAAACGAAGAAAACTGCAAAACCAGAGGACAAGGAACGCGAGAAAAAAAAGGGCAAAAAAACTGCAAAATCCAAGTTCGTACCAAAGACTGCAAAACCCAAGATTGTACCAAAGATTGTAAAGCCCAAGGGCAAACAAGCGATGATACCGAACACCAAACATCCTGTAAACCCGCATGGTCTGAAACCCAACGAAAGTTACAAGCCCACCAACAGTTCAGACGAATCTGCCAACGCATCACCTTCGGCAACGGAGACGACCACTGGCAGTCAAGACACGGTTACTGCCAATGATACCGGGTCGCCAGCACCTACAAAGACTTCTACTGAAGATACGTCCACTGATAACGGGTCGCCAGCACCTACAAAGACTTCTGCTGAAGATACGTCCACTGATAACGGGTCGCCAGCACCTACAAAGACTTCTACTGAAGATACGTCCACTGATAACGGGTCGCCAGCACCTACAAAGACTTCTACTGAAGATACGTCTACTGATAACGGGTCGCCAGCACCTACAAAGACTTCTACTGAAGATACGTCCACGGATAACGGGTCGCCAGCACCTACAAAGACTTCTACTGAAGATCAAAACACGCCTACTGCCACGACTACTAAAGCCTCGTCTACTGATAGTCAAGACACTTCATCTATTAACAGCTAAAGGATTCCACAGCTTTCACAAGTGTTTTCACATTACGTGAAGGATTCGTTAAAGTACTTTCTTTACATAAATAGACTTTCACTTACCCCTGTTTGCGGAGGATTTCCTTTGTATTTTGATGTCAATTCAACTTAATTATTCGATTTTTTTTTTGTGCGGGATCGATTCCTACACCATGAATAAAATTTATTATTTAATAGTGAAATTCAATGTGACGTTTGATTAAGGGCGAACAGTTTTACATTGTATATGGAGTTCAATGCTTCCTCACACTTGCTCTTACAGGTTTACTGCGATTTAGAGTTACATTAATATAAAATTACAAAATGTTGGATTGAACGTGAGAGGCCAATAGTAGGTTACGCATTCTTCTCGTTTTTCAAAAACTAAGGACCTCTTGGAGAACACAGTTACAATGGCTCACCAAAGTACCATTTCGTGTCTATTAATTAGCATCACATCTCCATATTGCTTATTACATAAGGAGTGTTCGTTTCCGATCAACGTTGTTATCGTGTACGAGGCTGCCTGCCCTGCTTAAGTTGAAGTGATAATTCTTTAAATTAGAAAATTCCACAAATTGACACGTGACATTCTTGTGGCGTAGTTAAACAATAGTCTGTGGTTGTTGAATTAACGTCGCCAACTCTGAACATATTTTCCCTTTCACCAGTCCAGAATCCTCTTCTAATGTCTGCCGAAGTTGCTCAAAAGGTTACAGCCAAGAATGATAATATCCCAAGGTACTTACAAACAGCGCTCTTCCTTGTCTTAGGAAGCTTAATTTTCAGACTAGCAACTCGCATCAATGTTTCTCCAAAAAAGCCAAACATTAGTTACCTCGAGTATAGTTGTCCCTGCCTCTTCCACGGCAAGACGGTCCTCTCGCTACGATGAAGATAACAACCTAAAACGACGGGCAAGCGAAGACGAAGACGCTAACAGAGATACAGAGGAGGTTAGATCTACAAGTCCATTAACGCGTTTTGTTCCGTGATACCCTTCCGTTTGTGCTTTGCTCATTTACCGTTGCCATTACATAGAACAAACGGCCACGGTTAGATATGAACAATACAGAATTAAAGAAACGGAGCCAGAGGATGTTTGGCTTGATGATGGGCACTCTAACTAAATTCAAAAACGACATTCAAAACAAAACCGAGGCTGTATGTGTAATAAACCGAATCTGCCCTCTACCAAGTTTGCTCGTGATTTTTCCTAATCGTCTCTTGTTTTATTCGCAGTCACTCAAACAAGAAAAGATAAATCAGAAAATACAAGAAAAGCTAAAAAAGGAAAGAGAGGAATTGGCGGAAAAGATGAAACGTGAAGAACAAGAGAAAAGGGAAAAGATTGCACGACAGAAGAAAGAAGACGAAGAACGACGAGTAGCTGAACTGGTGGATACTAGATTTACAATGTTTTGATTTGTATTATTCATTTATTAATGATTTTCGTATACTCTTTCTATTTATATGTAGCGCGAATGTTGGTCGAAACAAAAGAAAAATCTTGCCAATTTTCTTTGCACTAAAACATCCCCTCCACTTTACTATCTCCCAGCTAAATTATCTAGTGCGTCGCTTGAAACAATTGCAGAACAGAAGCGCCAATTGGCTCTTGCCTCTTCTGCTTCGGCACAAGTAGATGATAATAATGTGTCGGAAGAGAAAGAAGCTCATACTGTAGATGTAGAAATGGAAGAAGCTACTGAAGCTGGGAATGGGAAGAAAGAGATTAGTGTCAGTGAGGGTGACGGTGAGGGTGACGGTGAGGGTGACGGTGAGGGTGAACGTGATAGTGAACGTGAGGGTGACGGTGATGAGGATGGTGAGCAAGTGAGTGATAAGGAAGATGATAAGGTAGAAGATGAGCGAGAGGGTGAGGTTAATGTAGAGGATGATGACGAGGGTGGTGGTGAGGAAGATGCAGAGGAAGTATCAATGGGAGACGAAGAGGAAGAAGAGATAGATGTAAATGAGCGAGAAGCAAGAGTAAGTGAGATAGATAAAGGTGAAGAAGGTCGGGAACGTAAACAAGAAGATCAAGAAGGTGCAGATGATGATGATGAAGAAGATGCTGAAGTAGTAGAAGTGGAAGACGACGACGACGACGAAGAAGAAGCAGAGGAAGTGGAGGACGAGGATGAGGATGAGGATGCGGAGGGTGATGAAGATGAGTATGAAGATGAAGAACTGGAACAAGAGCTAGAACAAGAACTGGAAGAGGAAGATGAAGACGACGATGAAGAAGATGAAGAACAGGATGCGGAAGAGGCTGATGTGAATGGATATGTCGATGTGGATGGAGATGAAGATGGAGAGGGGATTGAAGAGTAAGCTGTGAGCTTAATAAAGCATTTGAAACAGTAGTTTTTATTTGTGCAGATCATATATATGTACGTATATATGTGTGTGTAAAGACATTTTGTACGGTTTGATTAATGACTCAAGGTAATTAAAAGGCAGGCGATTATGCATGGATAGAACAATGCAAGAGTGTTTAATAAAATGCTAATGGAATACAAATAAGGGGTAATAAAGGGCAAATAATTATCGACAAATTATTATCGTAGTAACATTGATAAACTATTCTCATTCGCAGAAATTGGTTCACTTCCTGTACATTGGTAGACTATTCAACTTTCTCACTTATTTTTATTGTCAAGCAAAACCCAGATGTTATTTTAGGTGAGCCAAAAGTTGAACTACCATATATTGATCTTGACTCTAAACAAAAATTTAAATCAATTCTATTAACAAATTTCCCTCTCAGTACCGGTCCTCCGATTAAAGAACTTCTCGGTTGTGTTACTTCCATAATCAAAGAGAACAGTTTTAGAAATTGAGGAATCATTAGGATGGTACGCCTTAATATTAAATCCAATATTAATATTGTTGTGAACACTCGGATTAAAACCTCTTTTGTTGGCCATCTCTTGCTTTCCATTTCTGCCGAATTTCGTCTCTATAGGACTGCAAGCTTTAGAAATCGGTCTATTTAAATTATAATTGAGGGGCTTGCTTTTCAGCACAATCTGAAGTAAAGTCTCATGAACGGTACAACAATAAATTACAGTTACATTAAGTATAACAACAATCAAAGGGCTGTATTGGTTCTGCTGATTATTTGAAATAACTATTGTTATCATCACATTAAAAAAGCATCGTTTTCATTAACGTGATACTACCTGCTTTTCAGTTTGTTCAATCAAAGAAAATAACGGACCTGTTTACCACTATTACTATATAAATAGCAAGCAGTCATTTTTTATTCCGTCCAAGTATGTTATCAGTTTATAATCTTTTCGAGATTTGAAATTTCCTGCTTGTAAAGTTCATGTACATTGGAATCATGATATTGAAAGTATGTGCTTTCAAGCAAGATATTGTTTCCAATAAATAATATTGATAATTTCCGCTGATTCTTCAAGGTAAAGATTATCCCAATAAATGTTCCAATATTGTTGATATACAATATGTATATTAATATTAATATGGTCAAAGTTTACTGTGGACAATAATCATGCTTGTCTTAATATTAATATGTCTGATGACCTCTTTAGTGGATATATTCCAAGAGAAAGCTGAATAAAAGAGTGAAACTGATCAGATATGGCTCTTCAACTTGACAAAAATTTGGCTATTATATAATTGCATATTAACAATCCTAATATAAATACTAATGAAATATATGAAAATAAACAGTCACCTCTTTAGTTTTTCTAAATTAAATCTTTAGCTCGACAATTTTAATGGTGACCAAACGGTTTTTAAATAAATAAGTAAGGACCCCGTGTAGGACGTGACAAATCCGCAAAGCTCTCTAAAATTTCCAAGACAGAGAGAGATCAATTTTTTTAAGTTAAAATGATGAGATTGTCACGTGGATTGAAAATAAAGCAGGGATTTTCTCCAGATAAACTTTTTTCATTTTCTGCGAGAGACCAAAATGAATAAACTCCAGCGCACGAGACCCGAGTTGGTGTTTGTTTGACAGTTGCTGTAAGTTAGAATGTATAATGAAACCGAGATTAGTTGACAAAGACGATTTGTGGTTCCTTTGGCTGTCTGAGTTAAATGAAGACAAACAAACATATTTTTTCGCTAGATTCATTTCATATGCCGAGTTCAACAAAAACGTAAAGCTGTTTGTAAGTTTGGCAATAAGGACTAACTGTTGTCTTTCTTAATCTAACGTTCACACGTAGTGTCATATGTTTAATGCCGTTCAATGAAAACGAAAGCGCTGGGACTGTAGGTAAGCTCTCATGCTAGTAAGTGGGCATCACAGTATTATAGATAATGACATAGGGAATATGCTTCCAGAATTTTTTAATGTTGCTGTATAGAAATTATTTTTCCACTGTTTCGCGAATAATTTGTTCGAATAGTGAATTACCTCGTCCGGGTCATTATTTTACTACGGAGACTCCTTTTTGTTTGTTTCTACCAGGATTTCTGTCTTGATGACAAGATCTCTTGTAATAGCACACGAAAGAACTATGAATTATCCAGTTTCTGCACATTCCACCGTTTATATATGTAGTCGAATAATACTATACTGTCTGAAAACTTTTCTCTTCAATGTTTCAGCATCTCAATTGGATATAATCCACGTCGATAATATATGTTTATCAGCTTCATGAGCATTCCTAACGACAATAAACTCCCGCTTCGTGCCCAAATACAGTTTAAGATCTAAAGACATCATCAACAACTGCTCAGCCATTAGATGATGGCAGATATTCACCGGTGCTAACGCGGAGGCGTATACCAGCAACGTCCTTCTGAGAGTAATATGTGGGCGGGATAATTCACAAAAACGGACTACAGAGTCTATCAGATTCATGGGGGTTGCTTTAGGTTAGTGGGGGTGTTTACAATGAACTACTGTCTATAGTTACACCTTTGGGGCATATGAAACTTGTGAGATGACTAGAGACAGGGGAAAATTACTCATGTCATGCTACGCAAGTTGGCAGAGGGAAGGAGTGTGACTATAGATCGAGTTTTATATGATGTGACTATAAACGAGGGGATTATATAAACGGTAGTTCATATTCACCGTATATACAACGACCATATGATCGTCTGTTACAACCGCCAGTGTCTCTTCTTGACGCGTTGCATGAAGAAATCCGTGGCTCTGCACCGATAACGCTTTCAAAGGTCATTCTTTATTAGCTCTGTATTTTCTAATAAATTAGCCTTGTCTTTTTTTCGGATATATCATTTGGAGAAAATTAAAATCATCGACGGACATGTTTGGCACTCTCGATGTCAAGACCTGTTGTAAGTTGCATAACCTAAACAGCACACGATTCGGAAGTGAGACCTTTGAATATATCATACCAGTATATCGGCTAGAAGAGATTATCTGAATACTTGCTTTGATTGTTATATAATATATACGTTGCGGCAGTTAGTGCTACGGGCTAAGTTAAGGCTAATATAAGCGTAGTCCCTGAACGTGCTACCCATGTTCACCCGGGAGATGCATTAGTTGCACCCTTCTTTCACCAATAAATACTTTTGACAGTAAACGGTCAGTTATCCACGTGATGCAAAGATAAGTTCCAAGACTATGCACAGTTCCTAATACTAACAATCGATTTTACTTTTTCCAGTATCACTTTGCATGCTCCCTTTTGTCACCATCCCCAATCCCCAAACCAATTCATCACACCATACGTCACTAACAAGATTGACGTGGAGTACAAAAGGACATTTTGACATCTGACACCAAGCACAATCGAAATTCTCCTTTTGGTTATTTCTCATCCAAAAGCGAACTTGCTTACCATAGATTCAGACAATGGAAGGCTGTCAAATTTATTTGGGGATCTCTGTACATTTTTGCCTTGATTAGGCTTGTATCTACACTGCCGGAATTCTCCGTACGCCATCTAGTAAATAGCGTTTTTTTTTTTCAAATAGGAAATTCTGAAGAGTATTACCCCCCCACACACACAGACACTCGTACATTTTTACACATACATGCATATATAGATACATATACCAAAACTTGCTCATCAAACATTACCAAAAACCACATCTCTGTCCGCTTATCAGAATTAATCTTGAGCAAAACTGTACTACTATTAATTAGAATACTAAGAGTAATTTAATACTAACACCGCACCTCATACACTTGTCAAGGAGGAAAAATGCATTCGGTTCAAGCGTCCCTCCTCGGATTACAAACATGTAATCTTTGAGTAATAAATAAAGAAAAGTTCATCAATTAGTGAACAGAGTCTGTATAACACGTTTATTAACGTTGTTCCTCGACTCATACGCAATATGTCACAAACGTTAAGCCAAGAAAAAGATCAAATGTTGTGAATGTTGTGGTGGATCGGTCAATTTGAAATTGAATACTTTATACATGTTACATGGTGTACATGTATGATAATTTCCTGTTGGCATAATATTATAATTTGTTGGTGTAGTATTTATTATAAGTTCTTGTTAGGACAGTATTTTAATTTTTCGGGACCCGTTAGTTTTGGGAGTATTTCTTGTAAAAATAAAAGTTGCAATGTATAAAACCCATTGGCAAAGAATAACGAGGCTACACTTATAACATTCACACGAATTTGTATACAGCAAGTATATGCATATTTATTTTCAAAACTGCTCGCACCAAATCGGTTGTCTTTGTAATAACTGATGTGGGCCAAAAGCTTAATGATTACGATCGGCAAATTCGGTAAAAACTTTTTGCGGTCAAGCGTATTTCATTTATTTTCGTGTTACATACACACAATATACCGCACTTCTCCATCGTTCTACTAACAATAATGGAATTGTGATAAAAAAAAAAAAAAGAGAGAGATACAAATGTGATCGATTTGACTTGTAAAAAGTTTTACTGCATGCTTACAAAGTAGATTGCGAAAAAGTTCATACAGCACACGTTTTGTTTAATGGATATTGCTCGAGGAGTCGCACATAATGCAAGCCTCACGTTTGGTATCACGGTAACACATTTTGTAATAAATTTCTCTCGCAGCGGACACATCCCTTTGTATTTGTTATTTATCAATATATTAATATGCGGTGCGATCAAATTAAAAACGTTCTCCCCCAAACGCAATAGAAAAGTGGCAATTTCTCGATATTCCATCGATATGGGGGGCGTGGAAGGTAACAAGTCTGTTTACTGGAGTTTAGAGTATTGGTCATTATGCATATTAATATATGAATATATTATTATTATTTTCACTGTTTATATACACATCCATCTTGTCACGTTTCTTGTCCTTTGACAACCCTAACCCTTGATGTAATATCGCCGCGTATAAATTCAAGTAAAGTAAGCGGAAATTCGTTATATGCAGGTCGCTGTGATACCAGTAAAAAGTATTGACTGTTTAATAGCATTAATATAATATAAAGTAGCGTAAAAATAAGCACATTTACGTTTCCTTTGAAAGCAATTTTATTGTTGTCGATATTTAGTTTCCCTTCTTAGACAATTAAATATTAATGCATTATTTGCATAAAACCACATTCGTTTAAACTCAAAATTCCATCATATTTTGTAAATGGGACATAACGCCACACAATAGTTCAGGGGTCAAGACGCCACAGATTTAAAAAATCGCTCGTCCCCAAGAAAAAAAAAACTTTTCCTGGATGTTTGGACGTTTTAACCCGATCTAGATGAGAAAAGCGGAACGGTTTAGATTTTCCCTGTAAATGGTTTTAACCTGTTATTAAATGCGAACGGTTTGATTGTTGATCATCTTATAATGGTGAAACAGTTCTTTTGTTTCCACTTTCATATTAGACGAAATCGACATGCTTAATATTAATAGGCGGATCAACAAAGTTATGACTTGTCTGCCCGATACGTGTAAAGGATCATCATGTGCATTCATTATGATAAACTTGCCCCAAATACAACAATTAGAGATTTACAGCCTGTTATTGAAACGGGAATAAAAAAAAACTTGTTAATTTCATATTTCAAAGGCAGTATGTACCCCCTCGATATTGAAGTATTTGAACAAAATTGACCAAAAGTTTAATGTTTGTATGCGAATCTCGGATGCATCAAAAAGAAAAACGTAAACGCGAAATCTCAAACCACCTTATTCTTAGAGTCTATCACTATACTTCATGTGTCTTGTCATTCAACTTGACATATCGATATGTGAACTTTTGATTCCTTTTTCAAGCAATGTATTATGTAGATATTGTCAACACGTGATTCAATGTCCACGAGTAAACTCGGAAAAGGTAAACGCGAAAGGGCTCGTGAGGAAATACTTAATGTTTGTGTGTATTGATTCTATTACTATTTTGCTTTTAGGGTGGAAAAACCAAAGGGACGATGGTGATATAGCATTGTCAATTTCTGGGTTTGGTTTAGTTTAGTTCGACGAGTCACATCTAATATTAAAAGACACAAATCAATAAAAATCAAATTCCCCGAGACTTGTCTTTTTTAAAACACACACACACGCACTCTCTCTCTTGTCTTGCATGACTATCACAACTCTCCACTTGTGGCAACACGCGCGAGTAACTATTGGTGCGTGCAAGCAAGCATTGCCCATCTGGCCACGATACGATTGAATCTGAAAAAGAATAGTTAAATTGGGGTAGATTCTTTTCTTGTAATAATATAGCATTTATTGATATTACAAGTTATTCGTTACGCAGTATGATACAAATATGTATCGTTATGGTAGTTACGTGTCGCAAGAGTAAAAAAATGCAAAGTAATCGGTAATCCCGATTAAGTATCTGGGAAGTGTGGAGACTGGGGTACAAACAAGACATATTAGTATGATAACGAGGACATGTACTAAAAAGACAAGCAGATCAGTCTCATTTAATGTATATCGCACAGACAGTTGGTTGGGAGCGACACCCAACATGGACGCGATGGGAAAAGAAAAGGTATGACTCGTTAAGGCTAAGCCTCGTTTGTGATATTGTCTCGTTTGTAAAAAGGTATCGTTTGTGGTATGACTCTTAAGCCGCCTTTCTTGGTCGTCATTACAGCATTATAATTAGGGTTTTTTTTTCAGTATTAAAATGGTGTAGTTCGGATTCACAACGCAGGTAATCATGTTGGGATTTAACAACGTAATACAGCATATTGTTAAATGAAATTATGTATATAACTTGTAACAAATTATTTTTATTCATATATATATATATATTTACTAGCAAATTCTCCAAGAAGTGTCATTTGAATTGCCTACCCTAACAAGGGTTTGCTAAAAAGACATGAAAGGAGGAGCAATATAATACCACCACAACAACGAACGACGACACCGACGACAACAACGACGACGACGACGACAACCGCATCAACCGCATCAACCGCAACAATATAATAACAACTACTAATATGGATTTTCTAAGGAAAAAAAATAATAAATGGGGATTCACACAAAATACGATTACTTTTTCTCTGTCTGACTCGAGAATTGCTGCGGAGGTTTAGTTTGTGCATTCCCATTAGCATTAGCCGTTCCCCAGTGCTGTGCGGTGGGCATGTAATTGCTTTGCGGATACTGGCCAAGATACTGTTGGCTATGTTGAGGATATTGTGCGGGCGACATGTAGTTATAGTTGGATGCAAGAGCTCCGGCGTTCATGGGGAGATTACTTGGCGAAATTCCATATTGATTGCCATATGGAAGATTCGGTAAATAGTTTTGGGAAGTTGGTACTTGACTATTTGGTGATTGATGCTGTGATCATGAAAGGGAGAGGAAAATAAAAAATAAATCAAATAGCGTTAAAAACGACAAGGCGAGATTGACGACCACAGACAGACGCAGAGACGCAGAGATACTGAATTCTATTTACCTTACGGTCGTCATTATAGAGGCCATCGCTGCTGTTATCTACCGATGATGTATTATCGCTACCATAAACTGGAGCTTGTTGTTGAGGTCGTGACTAATAATATCATAATGGGCAATGAAACGTACCCATGATAAGTAAATTCATATCGAAGCGAACTGGATAAACTTTATTTGAATGTATTACGGTTTTAACATACGGGATTTGACGTATCTTGACCTTGCGGCGGATCGGGAGCGTTCAAACACGCCTGGATTAGATTTTTACCCTCAGGTTTTGTTACAAGTGGTTGAAGTTTTGGTGTAGTAAAAGTATATACAAGGCCAGTTTCTGATACTACTAGCAGAAGAACTTGTGTTCCTGTTAATGTACTGAGTTCATATGCCTGAACAAATACGGAATGATAAGAAGAGAGAGTGAGAGTGAGAGTGAGAGTGGAGTGAGAAATGGAGAGAGAATGTGTGTGTGTGTTTGTGTGTGTGTGTGTGTGTATATGTATAATGTATGTGGGAGAAAGTGAGTGAAAAAAAAAAAAAAGAGTGAGCGTGGAGTTGGTTGAGCCAAAGGAAGAAGGGAAAGAAAAAAAAAAGAGACAGAGACAGAGAGAAAAAATTTGTTTGGGTTATTATTTCGAGTTGATAAACCATTAACGAACGAGCAAGTTGATGATATAATCATCACGGATACAAATTCATGACGACATTTTTGAAATGCTTACAAACCTTTTTCATTATTCCAGCCTTTCGCTTGCTAAAAGTGATATGCCGCCTGCTCTTGTCGTCGATATATTCAATTTTAATTTTTCTTCTTCCTGCGCGTTTTTCAGTCTTTTGACCGCCAGAGTCCTCTTCGTCGGAATCACCGGCATCGTCTTCATCGTGTTCGCGCTTAGTGCCTCTGTTACTGTCCTGTTGAGGCAGGTCTGTTGAATGGGAGCCGGGATTACTCGGTTTTCGTGCAGGCGCAGGGGTATTAGCAAGACTACTCATATTTGGAGATAGATAAGGGTCGGATGTGAGACTTGTATGGAAGACCTGAGTATATGGGGAAGGCTGTATGCGCGGAGACAGTTAGTAAGTAGTGGGTCTAAAAGAGGAAGCAAGGGAGAGAAAATAGATTGCAAACAACCGAAAAGAGCAAAGGTATATCAAAAGGGGAAAGTTTCAGAGCGGTTGTAGTATGAAGCACTAAATTTCAGGCAAAGTTTTAAAATAGGGTTGGATGAGGTGTACCTTCGGGTAGTGTCGATGAGATAAATATGACCAAAGGTGCGTGCGTTTGTAAGAGTGTGTTATGTGTGATAAAAAAGGTGAAGGCTATTGTTATATAAGCGGAAGCAATATCGAATGTGAGTGGATGGGTAGGATATAAATGGATGTAAGAACATATGTGGAGAAGGGTTGGTATATATAAGGAATAATAGAAAACAATACAACAACCATATAATAAAGAATAAAGAAGAATGTATAAATACGAATAATATAAATACAATAAGTGCATATATTTTATATTTTATAAATTATATATGACTGGGGCTGGGCTGTTCTGTGATACTGTACCTGGTCTTTTATAGAACGGGTCCTATGGATGATGGGGGGGAGTGATGTATTAAATGGTATTCAATGGGATCGAATGGGGAAGCCGCAGTGAGTAAAACCGATACGGATTGTATTTGGTTTGTGGTTCGTTCGGCTATTGATTGATTGATTGTTATTGTTGTGTTGTTGTGTTGTTGTGTTGGTGTAGCTGCGTTGTGTCGTGTTGTGTTGTGCTGTGCCGTGTTGTAGTTGTATTTGTAGTTGTAGTTGTAGAATGTCTTGTGTAGTGTAGTGTAGTGTGTTTATAGTGTGTGTATGTGTGTCTGTTGATGTTATTGTGTTGTGTTGTGTTGTGTTGTGTTGATGATTTTGTTGTTATTGTTATTGTTATTGTTATTGTTATTGCGTGTAGTTGTAGTGTAGGTGTAGTTTAATGTTATTGTTATTATTACGTCGATGTTGTTCCTTCCTTCCTTGCTTGCTTGCTTGTTTGCTTTGCTTGAAATTTAGTTATTGTTCAATATTAAATTACGATGTACTTTTTTTTTTCCCTCTTCTGGCCTTCGTATGTCTGCAATGAGTGCAAGAGATGGAGAAACGTGGTCACAAAGCCATGCATACGTAGAATAGAGGCGATTAACCACTCTACAAGCAATTTCAACTCACCGGAACAATATAATCTTTTTTCGAGTGACGATTCAAACAAAACCAAACTATTCGACTCGCAACTCGTTTTCGTCAACACAGACTCGTTTCGACAAGCTCTGCAACCAGTGAACAAGTCAACAGTTGATAGAAACTAAGCGTTGGGTCTTGTCTTCGAGTGTGTGTATATATGTATGTGCCTCTCTTGAAGTAGTGTTTTTGAAAGTGAGGAGGGAAAATTAAGCTTGAACAAAAAAGGGGCGAAGGAGCAACAAAGTTGACGGAAAAGGATTGCATGGATTTTTATAATCCAAATGAGGCAAATGGGGAGCATCAAAAAAGGGAGGGGACATTTTATGAGGAGATAATGATGTTTGTTTATTATTTATTTAAATATATTGTATTAAATCTGCATGTACTAATTGTCACCTTTTATTTATTATATGTGTGTGTTGTATTAACCATTCTAAGTAGCACCATCAACTATGCCACACTCGTCTCTTATCTATTATTATATTGAAAATACAGTTAATTTATATTAAATCAGTTATTGCCCATATTGGATCTTATATCGAATATTTTTACAACAATCAAACAGACTTGATACAGCAACAACGCCACAAAAGAGAGAAGAGAGAGAGAGAGAAAGAGAGAGAAAGAGAAAGAGAGAAAGAAGAGAGGAATTAGTCGGGACAAGGAAAGAGAAATGTGACATGCGATGGAACAATGTTGGGATGGGGCGATAGAGATGGATAGAGAGATATAAAAGGTGATAAAGGGAGATTGGAGGGCAGATGGAATGGAAACATACACTACATATACATGACATTGAAGAAACATACACTACACATACACTACACAGACAGACATATACAGGCATACACACATACCAGACAAGACCATGCATGTTTTATTGCTAATGTTTTATAATAAAGTAATCTATTCTTAGCAGCATATTACGCCATATTTCCACACTACTATGGAAACTACATTTGTCCCAAGTCCAACACACATCCACAATTATACTCTTATCAGCTTGTAATCTGCCTGTCGGTGATGGCTGGTGGACACGGAAACTCTAACGGATGTCGGGCTTGCCGATCAATACCACTAACACACGAATAAATAACAGTCACCAATAACAAGTAAACGAATATCCATCTGGCGTGTGAGAAAAAAAACACACGAGAAAAAAAATTATATTTGTTGATTGACATCTGATAGGATTTTGGGGAAGGGAGCGGAGGAGGAGGAGGAGGAGGGGGGGGAAAGAATCTTTAAAAGAATCTCTCTCTGATATTCTCAAATAAATTGCCTCATTACGGTAAAGTAGGGAAAAATGGAAAGAATTGAGACGGGAATAGTAAAAAAATAAGAACATGAAATAATGGGGAAAGGGAAAGAAAGGATAAAACCGAAAGTCTTAAACTGTTGTACATGCTATACAACAGTAAAATATATTTATTTATTAGCATCTTTATTGTAATCTCATTTTGATAGACATAGCATTAATCATAAGATTACCTTCTCTGTACAATTCACGCTGTATAACAACATGAACGTTAGGGTTATGTATGTACAGTATGTAATGATGTGTACGTATGGTGTGTATGTATGGTTGTGTGTGTGTTAAACACTTCAAATGCTCCCATTCTCAGCAAATCCTACAGCTTACTACCAAACATAGTCAAGAAGCGACTGTTCCTACAAATTATTGAAATCTATTGGCTGATCTTCAGACATCGAGGTTACTCTAAACTATCCCATCGATGACTAACAAAAAAGAAGAAGAAGAAGAAGAAGAAGACCGCAAGCCATCATAATGACTTGATAGCTTGGCAGAATGAACGAGTTGAGAGAGTGAGAATGAGAGAATGAGAGAATGAGAGAATGAGGGTGTGAGGGAGTGAGAGTGAGAGAGTGTAGTAAGTGTAGTGAGTAAGTGAAAGGGAAAAAAAAAAAAGACTACTAATATCGAAACAATACAATAATAATCAACTAAACAAACAGGTTAACCAAATGATCATTTTTTCATTTATAGTTGACATTTAGTTACTCTTATTAGAAATGCATCAAACAATCTTCATTATGCATAATTAAATAGCATCAGGAATTGCGAGCATAACCAATTATAACCAATTACATACATTATTAACGTTCAATCTCGCATACAACACATCATCACACGTCGACGAGAACAAGAGAAAAAAGATAACAATGACAACGTATGCACAATAGAGACACGCAATACAAGTGTACACTTCCACGGCAGAAATCCCTTTTGCGCTACTTAAAGCTCATTTTGGAACTATTCATCGGTTTACTCATAATGCGCCAATAAACCTAGTGTTCAGAAGTAATCTTGTAAGACAACAGACAAACAAAGAAAAATGAAATAGCATTTATTAGCTTATATTGTATATAATTATTATATGCATAGTTTCCCTTTCGCTCCCCTCTATCTATCTCTCTCTATCTATCTCTCTCTATCTCTCTATCTCTCTCTCTCTATCTCTCTATCTCTCTCTCTATCCTCACTTTCTCCCCCCTCTCGTTTAAAGCTATTTCTTCCTATTACTAATCTTTCTCTCATAAACAGAAGGCATGAAATAATGTGAGCGTGTTACGTTGTACAAATTAAAGTGGTGTGATTGTGAGTGTGGGAGAGAGAAAGAGAAGAGCGAGAGAGAGGAGAAACGTAACGAAATAATGAATTTTTTTAGCCCTGGGGTATAAAGTACAGAACTATGTATATCAAATACTGTTTTTTTCGAAACGAAGAGCAACTGTTACATTTTTTCGCTGGTAATAAAGTATGGTTAGACTAGAGATAGAATTGGGACATGGCTCTATAATTGGGAAAACAAAGTTAATAATGACGATGCTATGGTAACAATAACAACAATTGATGTTAATAGTAGTAACCATATTCTCTGATGAATGTTCAACGTCTTGATTCGATTGATAAGGGTAGACAGACGCGGGTCAGACAGTCGGACAACGGGATTGTGATAGGAAGAAGCAGGTTACTCACAGTGCTTCTCAGAGTGTGTGTGTGTGTGTGTGTGGGTGTGTGTGTGTACGTCTCTCTCCTCTCTACCCCTCCCTCTTCCTCCCTCCCCCTCCCTCTCTCTCTCTCTCTCTTTGTTACATACTATACAGATTATTTTTCTTTATTCTTTTTTTCAATTCTTTTTTTTTCCTTCTCCTCCTCCCTCGCCTCACCTCAGCACACACCCCCAATAAATTTGCAAACCCTTTCGCCCGTTGCTCACTTTGATTAGTCATATTTGTACATACAACTTCCAAATCAGACGTACCACCAGTGTACAAATACGCCAAATCTTGTTCATTTCAGGATGAAAATTCCGTATTCGTTATCGCTGGTGCTCCTTGCTACAATCCGAAACAGGTAGCTTCACTCCTGAACAAAGGATGTCACAATGTAATACGAGGATGTACAATGAATCACAATCAGCACAAGGAAGTATCAAGTAACACAACGGATGAAGCGTAAGAGAAAAAGTCTGACTGACGGTGATGGAAAAGCAAAAAAAAAAAAAAAGGTCCCTCCGATCCTTGTCTTCTTCTGTTAGTTTAGAATAATGGTCGATATATATTGGTTTACTATATATTTTGTGTATTACATGCATATAAATGTATTAGATTTTACACAAGACGTTAGGACTCGGAACTCAGACTCCGATGTGAATTACCGAAGCGAACTCCGAAATGAGGAATATAATAAAATCAAATATACTTTCTTATATTTGAAAAAACCGACTGTTTATCGGAGATAAATATAG